GCTAATGGAAAAAAAAGGGTTACGGGGTCGGGAAGCAAGTCACTGTGATGTAAACATGACTTATCTAAACTGACGAGGTGACCTACCAGAAGTACCAGACACAGAACTGTGACCGTTCTCAACTGACCTAGAGACCTACCTGAAGTACCAGACACAGAACTGTGACCGTTCTTAACTGACCTCGTGACCTACCAGAAGTACCAGACACTGAACTGTGACCGTTCTTAACTGACCTCGGGACCTACCAGAAGTACCAGACACAGAACTGTGACCGTTCTCAACTGACTTAGTGACCTACCAGAAGTACCAGACACAGAACTGTGACCGCTCTTAACTGACCTAGTGACCTACCTGAAGTACCAGACGTAGAACTGTGACCGTTCTCAACTGACTTGGTGACCTACCAGAAGTACCAGACACAGAACTGTGACAGTTCTCAACTGACCTAGTGACCTACCAGAAGTACCATACACAGAACTGTGACCGTTCTTAACTGACCTCGTGGCCTACCAGAAGTACCAGAATAAGAACAGTGACCGCTCTTAACTGACCCCGTGATCTACCAGAAGTACCACACACAGAACTATGACCGTTCTTAACTGACCTAGTGACCTACCAGAAGTACCAGACACAGAACTGTGACAGTTCTCAACTGACTTAGTGGCCTACCAGAAGTACCAGAATAAGAACTGTGACCGTTCTCAGCTGACTTAGTGACCTACCAGAAGTACCATACATTGAACTGTGACCGTTCTTAACTGACGTAGTGACCTTGGGTACTTCCTACCAAAGTATCAGACTCAGAACTGTGACCGCTCATAACTGACTTAGTGACCTACCAGAAGTACCAGACGTAGAACTGTGACCGTTCTTAAGTGACCGAGTGACCTTGAGTACCTTCCACCAAACACAGTATTGTGTTGTTTTACTATTGGAAAACGTGTATTTTAATCATCTGTGGAGTTGGAATCTGACGTCACATCCACACGGGATTATCTAACGTTAGTTTAAATGTTTAAACTTTGACCACGAGCCCTTCTTCCGAAACAGAACCTAAATTTTCGTCCTGCAATGCATTGCAAATCCAATATGCCTTCTAGGTAAACTCATATGCTGATGTTCGTATCTCAATAACCTCATCTGTCTGTCAGGGCTTGAGGCATGAGGATGCCGTTTCCGTTAGTAGTCCTGCAGGACAGTCCCCTGAGGTGTTCGAGCTGTGTGGCAGCCAGCCTGGACAGTCCCCTGAGGTGTACGAACTGTGTGGCAGTCAGCCTGGACAGTTCCCTGAGGTGTGCGAGCTCTGGGACTGACAACCTTGACAGTCCCCTTAGGTGTGCGAGCTCTGGGACAGCCAACCTGGACAGTCCCCTTAGGTGTGCGAGCTCTGTGGCAGCCAGCCCGTCGGTCCCCTGAGGTGTGCGAGCTATGTGAGTGATAAGATTTCCCCTTCCGTTGGCAGAGTGCCTTTGCAGACCAGCGAAATTTCGTAATAACAGACAGAAAAACACTGTTACTTCGTTCTGACTTTTAAAATCTCTCTTAGAATTGTACAGGCGCCCCTTTAAAAAAAAAAAACAATTAAAAAAATAATAAACACCCCCCACCTCTCTTTACTACCAATTATGCGTGAGCGAAAATAATTCTCAGCGATTAATCCCCTTTCCCCCGTCGAGATACCACCCAATTGAAACAACAACTGCCCAACATATCTTCATTTTCACTACTGGTAACACATGATGGCCGGAGATATGCATCGTTGACAAACGCACGTACGCTTATAAGATGTGTGAGTGACGGTACTGAATATTTTGGCGCCTATTGTACATATATTTATATATATTTGGAATGATTTGGAGAGGCGTCGGGAGGGGGCGCAGGGGGGCAGATGTCCCCGGGCGCCAGCTTGTTAGGGGTGCCAAAATGTGCTTTGTTATTATTTTATTGATGAAAATAATGGGCTTGAGAGTTGAAAAAAGAAAAAGGGGTGCTTTAAAATGGATCTTGTCCCCGGGCGCCAAACACCCTCGCTACGCCTCTGATGATTTGTACAACTTCGTGTTATGATTTGAACAACTGACTTCGTGTAATCATTTGTAAAAATAAATGATATGCTTGTTACGACTTCGGTGTTTGTAGGGCGAGCCCATGAGTAGACTCTAAAATGGTAAAGCGGGATGTGTCAGTGTAAGGATTATCCCTATGTCTAGGCTATGAAAATCCCTGTTTCTGGGGTATGAGAATCCCCCTGCCTTGGGTATGATAATCACTATGTCTAGGGTATGAGAATCACCGTGCTTAGGGTTTGAGAATCACTGTGTGTTTGAGAAACTTTGTTGTATGAAAATTATGTGATTGATTGAGATAGAAAGGACGAGGGGACATAAACACGAGTGTGGTCTATAGTATGATGTGTCACATCAAGTTAGGATTTCTCAGATGAGCTCAAAACAAGACTTCATTAACATAATATTTAGATTAGCTTAAAACATGAGTTTATTAACATACTCAGGTGAGCGTCATACAAGACTTTATTAACATATTTATAATTTTGTCAAATCATCTCCAATGGCAATACAGCCCATGTAAGGCTTCCTTACTGTGATGGACTGATACATGGGCTGCACAAGAAGACACACATGGGGGCTGCACAAGCAGACACACATGCATGGAGCAGACACACATGGGGGCTGCACAAGCAGACACACATGGGGGCTGCACAAGCAGACACACATGGGGGCTGCACAAGCAGACACACTTGGGCTGCACAAGCAGACACACGTGAGCTGCACAAGCAGACACACATGGGCTGCACAAGCAGACACACGTGGCGATCATTCGTGAAGAGCACAAGATACAATCTTCCAAGAACCGATGTCGATATTAAGGACAGTTTTATTGATTTCATTGACAGTACTTGTCATTGATTGGCGAAATGGTCACGGAGTAATAGAGCTGATATGTGTCACGGAGTAATAGAGCTGATACGTGTCATGGAGTAATAGAGCTGATATGTGTCATGGAGTAATAGAGCTGATACGTGTCACGGAGCAATAGAGCTGATATGTGTCACGGAGTAATAAGTCTAATACGTGTCACGGAGCGATAGAGCTGATATGTGTCACGAAGCAATAGAGCTGATATGTGTCACGGAGTAATAAGGCTAATATGTGTCACGGAGCGATAGAGCTGATATGTGTCACGGAGTAATAAAGCTAATACGTGTCACGGAGCGATAGAGCTGACTTGTGTCACGGAGTAATAGAGCTGATATGTGTCGCGGAGTGATAGAGCTGATATCTGTCACGGAGTAATAGAGCTGATAAGTGTCACGGAGCGATAGAGCTGATATGTGTCACGGAGTAATAAAGCTAATACGTTTCACGGAGCGATAGAGCTGACTGGTGTCACGGAGTAATAGAGCTGATATGTGTCGCGGAGCGATAGAGCTGATACGTGTCCAGGCCTAGGCCCTCACGCTTCTAGGGGGCCTCGGTGCACCACTGTGCCCAGGGCATACTCTACCGTGAAGACGGCCTTTCTGAAGGGGCTAGGGATGACCCGTTAATTTACCCAATCGTTGCCGTGTACCGTGCGATGTCTAGATGACTCAACGTTGAAATGCTGTATGAGCCCTTAGACAAGGTCAGCTTGCTGGATTGTTGAATGAGCCAACGGGCATGATCCACCGTTTTGGCAATGTTAAACATGACCGACAACGCCAAAGTGGTAGATGTATAAGCACGACGACTACGGGTATTGATCGCTAGACCACAAGGCGGGGGTTAAGGTATTTTTACCAAAGTTCTAAAGACGTCACCGGCTGGTAGGAGCAGCACGAAGCGCCACCATGCACTAGACACAGCGCCTACGACCCTCACCGAAGACGGTGGTTCTTTAATTTTTACTCTACAACCCCGTGCAACACAGACGTTTCAAATTTTAGGAAATTTGAACAGGGTTCCCCATTTTTTTTTTTTTTTGGGAAGGTCAGTAAAGATTTTTTTTTGTTTTTTTTTTTTTTTGTATTCTTAATTTCACCATGCACTAGACACGGCGCCTACGACCCTCCCCGAAGACGGTGGTTCTTTAATTTTTACCCTACAACCCCGTGCAACACAGACGTTTCAAATTTTAGGAAATTTGAACAGGGTTCCCCATTTTTTTTTTTTTTTTGGGAAGGTCAGTAAAGATTTTTTTTTGTTTTTTTTTGTTTTTGTATTCTTAATTCAAGATATATTTTCGTAGTAACTGGAGCAGTCATCTTGTATAGAATTAACATGTGCGTAGAACGCTGGATGTTGGCAGTTGTTGTGGCTGGATATTGGGAGTCCTTGTGGCTGGATATTGGGAGTCCTTGTCGTTGGATACTGAGAGTCCTTGTAGCTTGATATTCGGAGTCCTTGTGGCTTGATATTCGGAGTCCTTGTGGTTGGATACTGAGAGTCCTTGTGGCTTGATATTGGGAGTCCTTGTGGCTTGATATTGGGAGTCCTTATGGTTGGATACTGGGAGACTTATGGTTGGATACTGGGAGTCCTTGTGGTTGGATACTGGGAGTCCTTGTGGCTTGATATTGGGAGTCCTTATGGTTGGATACTGGGATTCCTTGTGGCTTGATATTGGGAGTCCTTATAGTTGGTTATGGGGAGTCCTTGTGGCTGGATATATTGGGGGTCCTTGTGGCTGAATGTTGGGAGTCCTTATGGCTGGATATTCGGAATCCTTGTGGCTGGATATTTGGAGTCCTTATGGTTGGATGTGGGGAGACCTTGTGGCTGGATATTGGGAGCCCTTGTGGCTGGATATTGGGAGCCCTTGTGGCTGGATATTGGGAGCCCTTGTGGCTGGATATTGGGAGCCCTTGTGGCTGGATATTGGTGGTCCCTTTGAACGATTAATCGATACTTAATCAATGGTGGATTGGAAAACCGGATCAATTTGAACATGGCTTCGATGACCCGCGCCGGGAGGTTTGCTTAATGCTGACATTTGGAAAGAAAGTATGTCAGACTAGAAGTAGGCCATCATGTCAATTGGACTTGACAGAGTGTGACCAGGCAAGTAACATAGACCGGGCTGGAGGGTTTGGACCAGACTTGCCAATGGATGGTGGATTTCTCGTACAAATGTTTGGGGATATTATGCTTAGAAAAGAACTGACAATATTTGTTTCGTAGATCATTTTTTTTTTTAAGATAAGAAGTGCTTAAAATTTTGGATGATTTGACAGATAAAACTTTGAAGGTAAGAAATGATTTCTCTGAATGCTTGAAGGTGGGGCATGAGTAGTTCATTGGGACCAAAGTGAACACAAGAGCTAAAACCATCTTGACTAGGACCTACGGAAAGGATTTAGTTTCAATACTTAAAATTGGCTGAGAATTAGTTTAAAAAAACAACAATTAAAAATGTCTACACGTGGTATTCGCCTTCCTTTATCACACTGTGCTCAAAAGACAGCGGCAAACATGTCTCTGCTATGGCAGGCATTCAATAATATAAAGTCAAACATGTCTCTGCTATGGCAGACATTCAAGAATATAAAGTCAAACATGTCTCTGCTATGGCAGACATTCAAGAATATAAGGTCAAACATGTCTCTGCTATGGCAGACATTCAATAATATAAGGTCAAACATGTCTCTGCTATGGCAGACATTCAAGAATATAAGGTCCATCATGTCTCTGCTATGGCAGACATTCAAGAATATAAGGTCAAACATGTCTCGGCTAGGCAGACATTCAAGAATATAAGGTCAAAAATGTCTCTGCTATGACAGACATTCAAGAATGTAAGGTCAAACATGTCACGGCTAGGCAGACATTCAATAATATAAGGTCAAACATGTCTCTGCTATGGCAGACATTCAATAATATAAGGTCCATCATGTCTCTGATATGGCAGACATTCAATAATATAAGGTCCATCATGTCTCTGCTATGGCAGACATTCAATAATATAAGGTCCATCATGTCTCTGCTATGGCAGACATTCAATAATATAAGGTCCATCATGTCTCTGCTATGGCAGACATTCAATAATATAAGGTCCATCATGTCTCTGCTATGGCAGACATTCAATAATATAAGGTCCATCATGTCTCTGCTATGGCAGACATTCAATAATATAAGGTCCATCATGTCTCTGCTATGGCAGACATTCAATAATATAAGGTCCATCATGTCTCTGCTATGGCAGACATTCAATAATATAAGGTCCATCATGCCTCTGCTATGGCGGACATACAAGATTATACGATAAAACATGTCTCTGTCTCTAAGCTACTTATCTATCGCCATTGAAACAAAACCATTAAAATAAATGGAGCCGGACACTTCGCCTGATCTCAATTCGTCAGTTTTCCTCATCATTGTGATTTCCGTAGACAGAAGTCTGATTTTAACATCGAAACACCGGACCTTGCATTTCAACGCCCATGCAGGTTTGCGAGAATTAGTCGAACGATTCGTAAGGCGTGCAGAATATGGATCATGTTTTGTCACCTTTTTCTGAAGAATCCATTATGATTAGCTGATATAATGACTTGGTAGTTTTGGTAATAAACACAGTCACGTGCTACAGAACAGAAAAAGTCAGTAGGCAGACATCAGCAAAAAACAAACAAACAAACAAACAAAAACAAACAAACAAAACAAAACCCAAAGCAAATGTAATGATGAGGTAATTACAGGGCGTTACATTCAAATACACTGTCTCAAAATCTTACTCCTGGTTGTGACTCCACCTGCTGCCTCTGGCATGTCGGTGTCATAAGGTAAGGTGCAATCTAGGTTATTTCTGTACATAGCAAGAGTGTTTTTTGTTGGTTGTTTTTTTTTTGTTGGTTGTTTTTTTTTGTTGTTGTTGTTGTTTTTCTTTTTTTGTTATGAGTGTTGGAGGTGGGGGGGATTTTGGCGACATTTTTTTGTTTGGAAAGTGCTTCTGTAACCGTGATTTCAACCCAGGGTTGTCCTCCGATACTTTTCAAGCCAGGGTTGTCCTCCGACACTCCAATCAACCCAGGGTTGTCCTCCGATACTCCAACCAACCCAGGGTTGTCCTCCGATACTCCAACCTACCCAAGGTCCACAAGGGAAGGTTGTTTATTTACGTCACGCGTATAACACAAGACGCTACCCCCCCAAAAAAAAAATGGTTGGACACAGCAATTACACACTAGCGTGCGGTGCTAATGGTAGATACTACACACCAGCGTGCCGTGATAATGGTAGATACTACACACCAGCGTGCCGTGCTAATGGTAGCTATTACACACCAGCGTGCCGTGCTAATGGTAGCTATTACACACCAGCGTGCCGTGCTAATGGTAGCTATTACACACCAGCGTGCCGTGCTAATGGTAAATACTACACACCAGCGTGCCGTGCTAATGGCAGCTAACCGTAACAAGTTTTGTCTACGCTGGAATCACCCAACACCCCCCCCCCGCCCCCTTTTAGCCAAAGAAACGAGAGAAACACTGCCTGCTCGCCATTGGTGACGAGTCCAAAGTACGAGCAGTTCGATTGATAACGCAATTTCAATTTATTGATTTCCAACATAATTGCCCGGGTAGATTATATTGTCATTTTAAGTTATTTTGGAAATTTTTTTTTGTTACTGTTGGTAACATGCTCCTACCCTCCACACTTAACAAAAGACAACCCCCCATCACTGGCCAACAAGCAAACACACGAAGATTAAGCGGAGCCTATGTCACATTACCTAAGGTGGATGAAACTAACATGAAGGCAAGATTTGTTATAAAGGACACAATCACAAAGTTACAAAGTGGCTCCCAGAAATCTTTCGTGGTTCCCAGTAATCTCCCGTGGTTCCCAGTAATCTCCCGTGGTTCCCAGTAATCTTCCATGGTTCCCAGTAACTGAGCCGTTCTTAGGAGTTTGGGGGCCCTAAGCATGGAGCCTAGGTTGGGGGCTCCGGAAGGGGGGGGGGTCCGGGGGTGGAGCTCCAGTGAGCTGAAGATAAAACACCACCCACCACTGCGGCACCTCCATTCTGCCTTCATCAATGTTTCCTCTTTCCCATTCCCACGGCCAAGCCCCCGATTTCCTGTCTGCCACCCCCAAAGCCCCCCCCCCTGCTGCGTCCCTTCCCCTGCCTCCGAATTCAACTCCGAATGATAAATTTCAAGATGAGGAAGGTAACGCGGGTGACACAGACGGCTGCAGTGCCAGTTAAAAAAACCTGGGGATCGAGGGCGCCTCACAGAGGCCCCCTCACGTTCGGGGCCCTATGCGGATGCGTAGTCAGCGTATGCCTAAGAACGGGCCTGCCAGTTATCTCCCGTGATTCCCAATAATCTCCCGTGGTTCCCAGTAATTTCCTGTGGTTTCAAGTAATCTCCCGTGGTTCCCAGTTATAGTATATCCTCATTATTGTTTTAAAATGCCATTGACATAGTTATCTTGTGGGCTGGTTGTCTCGTGGGCTGGTTGTCTCGTGGGCTGGTTGTCTCGTGGGCTTGTTGTTTCGTGGGTTGGATGTCTCGTGGGTTGGTTGGCTCGTGGGCTGGTTGTCTCGTTGGCTGCTTGTCTCGTGGGTTGGTTGTCTCGTGAACTGTTGTCTCATCGGTTATTTTAAAGACCAGAAAATGCCGAGCTTAATGAACAACTACAAGGACTCTCTGTAGACTGGGTTTCAAACCGCTTGAGCCTGCAATTTAACAAAAAGCATGATTGAACTATAACACTGCAATGCGTTACAAGTAAGTGAGTTACTGGCTGGCACCAGGCTCACCAGATGTCACATCCTATCACATTGAATTAAAAACGATGGATATAAAATTTGGAAATTTTTAAACAATTATTTCCGCCCTATGATGAGCAAACTGCTGATGCCTGGGTGCCGAAGCACACGTTTCTTACTACTGGCTCAATAAACACATGTAGCTGACTACTGTCTAAATACAAGATACGTGCAATAAATCTTGACTCAGCGGATTCACTCTTAGAACTGATCAGTTTCACATTCTTATATCTTTTCAGACTTGTCATACGTTAATACTTATTCAACTATGGAGGCGGATGTGACGTCAGTTCCTGCTGTTAACGAGACTCTCGAAAGCGACGCCCCTGCTGACATTGATGAGAACAATGAAGCCGGCAAAAAGAGGACCCAGAAGAAAACGCCGCCGGCTGAGCTTGGCTCCGTGCTGGAGGAGCTGCAGAAGCAAGCCGAAAACTTAATGCTGTCGGATTCCCGAAGCGGCTCATCGGCCTCACGACCCACCAGCATGGCGAGGGAACGGTCGCTGCTTGGGGACTCGGATCGCATCCTCAGGAAGTACAACAAATCGGACGACGAGCTGATGAAAGAGTTTCTGAAGCGACGTGGGCTGGATGACCCCGACAAAAACGACTTGACCCCGTTGATTTGCTGCTCGCTGCAAGGGAAGATCCAACTTGTGGCCAAACTGCTGGAGATGGGCGTGGACATGAATGCGGCGAACTGCGCGGGAACCACAGCGCTGATTGCGGCGGCGGCGTCCGAAAAGGTGGATGTCGTGAAGCTGCTGCTGCAGAACAACGCCAAGGTCAACGTGGTGGACGCGCGCGGCAACAGCGCGTTGATGATTGCCATCTTGACAGGAAACGAGGAGCTGATCCAACTGCTGATAGAGAAAGGAGCGGATGTCCACGTCAAGAACGTCAGCGGACAGAGCACGTTGATGCTGGCGGCGTACAAGGGCGCCAGTGAAGTCCTCCATCTGCTCATCCAAAAGGGGGCCTCCGTCAACGCGAAGGACAACAAAGGCTGGACGCCCCTGATGTTCTGCGCACAGTACAACGAGCACGAAACCGTGGCGGCCCTGCTCGACAACAGAGCTGACGTCAACGACGCAGACCTGAGCGGGGCCTCGGCGCTTCACGTCAGTGCCGGAAACGGAAACACGGAAACGGTGCAGCTGTTGTTGAAATCGGGTGCCGCCGTCGACAAGATTGATAAGAGAGGAAGCACCGCGCTGATGCAGGCGTGCTTCGGTGGTTGCCAAGCTTGTGTCGAGGAGCTCCTCGGGGCGCATGCCTCTGTCAACGCATGCGACGGCACGGGCTCGACCGCCCTGCACCTCGCGGCTCACGGGGGGTACAACGAGATCGTGGCCGTCCTGATAAAATACAAGGCGGACTTGAACCTGATTGATGACGACGGCAACACGGCCATGACGTGCGCGTGCATGGGCGGGCATTACGACATCATTCAAATTCTACTGGCCGGAGGAGCGGACGACCTGATTATCAACTACCGCCGAGAGACCGTACTTTCAATAGCCGTTTGTCTCAGCAGGCCAGACATTGTGAAATTGCTGCTTCATCACCGGCAAACAAAGGGAGCCTATCCACTGATTAACTTCAAGGGTGACCGGGGAGTGACCTGTCTTGAAGAGGCAGCAAGACACGGTAACGGGGAAATAGTTAATTTGCTGATTGAATATGGAGCGGAAATAAATTACAAAGCAAGACCCATAGGAAGTACTCCCCTGCTTGACAGTGTTACCTGTGGGAGGCTGGGGGTGGTGGAAATTTTCCTCAAAGCTGGAGCCAATGCCAATGTCACGGATGTCGAAGGGAACACGGCGCTAATGAAATCGTCACTTCGAGGATTCGCGTCTATTGCTAAAGCTCTGCTAGTGGCAGGGGCATCCCCCACGTTGTCCAATGACAAAGGCCGTACGGCCCTGATGTGCGCGGCCTATGGGGGCTACGATGACATCGTGGAGGATCTCCACCAACACGGCGCCCCTCTTGACACGGTGGAAGTGGACGGGTGGAATGCTTTGATGATCGGGGCTCAAAACGGCCACCAGGATGTCGTCTCGGTTTTAGTGGAAAAACAGGCATCCGTGAACCACGTGATGACGTACGGCAGGTCGGCATTAGCCTGCGCCGCTGAGCACGGTCACTCTACCATAGCGGAGCTCTTGCTGAAACACGGAGCTCCCGTGAACAAAGGTGACGTGGAAGGGGACACGCCGCTGATTCTGAGCTCACTTAGGGGCCACACCAAGACCGTGCGAGTCTTGATAAAAAACAACGCCGACCTCGACCGCGCCAACAAGGACGGCCAGACGCCACTTTTCGTCAGCGCCCACGAGAGCCACAAGAAGATCGTGGAGCTCCTGGTCAACGCCGGGGCCGACGTGAACAAGAGCGACCGAAAGGGGTACACGCCCCTCATGGCGGCCACGCTGAACAGTCACGTCGACATCGTGGAGACTCTCTTAGAGACGGGAGCAGACGTGAACGCGGCCGACCGAAAAGCTCGCACCGCGCTTATGATGGCGGCCAACAAAGGTCACGCCAAGCTGTTGCAGACACTGATCGAGAACGGAGCAGACGTCGACGCCCGCTGCGTGGACGGCTGGACGCCTCTCATGTACAGCTGCCAGTATGGTTTCACGGAGTGCATGAAGATCCTCCTGGACAGCAAGGCGAACGTCAACGCCACGGATTCTGAGGGCAACTCCGCTCTGTGCGTCTGTGCGGCCAACGGCTTTCTCAAGGCTCTGCGACTTCTGATCGTGTACGGCGCCACGGCAAGGAGCCAGAACAAGTCTGGGCGGAGCGCTCTTATTCTAAGCACGTACAACGGATTCAAGGACATTGTTCAGTACCTGCTACGGAAGGGGGACGCAAAGAAGACGACCGAGTACGTCGACAAGGAGAGAGGGGACACGGCTCTGACCATAGCTGCAAGGAAGGGTCACGCGGAAATCGTCAGCGCGCTGATACAGCACAGGGCAAAGGTCAACGCCGAGAACAGGAAACTGAGGACCCCGCTCAGCATCAGCGCCAAATACGAACGAGGGGAGGTCATCGATGAGCTGATCAGAAGTGGGGCAGACGTGAACATGCCAGATATCAACGGTAACACGCCGTTACTGTTGAGCGCCCCTGGTGGCAACCTAGCCGTTTTGGAATCTCTCCTGAACGCAGGGGCGGATGTCAACAAAGAAAACAACAAGGGCGAGAGCGCGCTGCTGTTGGCAGCCAAACAGGGCTGTCGTCTGGCCGTGCAGCTGCTCTTAGATAAAGGTACCTTTGATAACACTACTGATAAAAGTTAGAGCACAATAATGATTTTTTTCTTTTGGGGCGTTAAATTTTGACTGGAAGAAAATGGCGTTCATCAGTTTTAAATCCGTTGCAACACCGAGTCTGCGTTGTAAAAAAAAAGTATTATTATGCGTCCAAAAAATTCAATCTGACTCCGTTCATTGTTTTATATTTACAAGCTGTCTTGGTCCTTTGTTATATATTTACAATTGGTCTTGGTTCATTGTTTTAAATTTACAATCTGACTTGGCTCATTGTTTTATATTTACAATCTGACTTGGCTCATTGTTTTATATTTACAATCTGACTTGGCTCATTGTTTTATATTTACAATCTGACTTGGCTCATTGTTTTATATTTACAATCTGACTTGGCTCATTGTTTTAAAGTCTTCTAATCTATCCAGGTTCATTCTTTTTGGTTTTCAATCTGTCTTGGTTAATTATTTTAGACTCTAGCCATCTGCCTTGGCTCATTGTTTAATTGGTTTGTACTTTTAGGGTGAAAGACTTACTATACATTTCGATGGTAACCTGCCCGTCTTACTATAGTAGGTCTTTATTTGTTACATTCCTCATTTGATTTGCTGTCGCTCTCTCTCTCTCCCTCTCTCTCTAAGGTGCTAAAGCTGATTGCTGTGACAGGTCAGGCAGAAGTCCTATCTCCATAGCCAGGAAAAATGGACACGACGAGATTGTGGAGATGTTGACCTCAGCTACGGGAGGAGTGGCGGGTAAGGGAAGCAATTCTTTCAGGACGCGCTTGGTTGGACCGTTATGATTTGGCAGATTAATAACAATCTCACAACTGGTTCCGCTTTCTGGAACGGGTCACGCCCACTTTATGAATGCATTGGACATGCCCACTTTAAGATGTAGGGGGGGGGGGCACGCTCACTTTAAGATATATGGGATTATGAGACACGCCCACTTTATGATTGATAGGACACACCCATTTTAAGACGTAAATAATGACAAACTCAGAACGGGAGTGAGTACGTCACGCCCATGCACCGCTAAAACAAAAAGCCACAATGCCACCCCCCCCCCTAAAAATAAAGAAACAAAATAGGCTTATATATAAATTTTACAATATATTTGTGTGTGTGTGTGTGTGTGTGAATAGCGATCGTCTTAAAATAATATATTATATATGAAATTAATATATATAAAATGTCAAAGTTTCCTCGCCAGAGTCCGGGGGTCACCAGCAAGAGGTCAGTTCGACGTCATCGAGAGACATGCGCCCCATGACCGCGGGGCGTGTCAGGTCCGGTGCTGGTGTAAGGAGTATCACGTCAATGCGAGGTTTGAGGTACGTGTGGCCCGCATGGAAAGAAGAAGAAAAAAACAAAGTCGTGTCTTACGCTAATTTAAACCCAGTCCTCCTGCTCTGTGTCTGGAAGTTGCATACACGACGCAATCATTATGTTCGTTAAAATGCTGAGCTTGATAAATGACGGCGAGAAAATAAACTATTAGTCAGTTTGGTTTGTTTCGTTATTCTTTGGTGAACCCATTTCTGTTGTTGTTTTTTTAAAGTGTACGTTTTAATTGATATTCTCATTTACCCATTCTCTAAAACACAAACCCTCAATGTTTCTATTCTTAAAATGTAGTCGAAACTGCAGCATAAGTTCCGCCTCCTCTGAAGACGATACTGTACTCGCTATCAGGAACGCCATCAACGTAGCGGCCCTGACCCCAGACAGGCTCGAGGGCTCTGTCAGATTTGAGATAGGCGCTGAAGATCTGTGAGTGCTTGCACTTTAATGTTTTGTTGTTGTTGTTTTTTTCATTGGGTTATAGAAAACATCTGACACATGACTGGCATTATTTGTGACCATCTTCCGGTGGCGGAGCTAGGGGTCGTGCAGATCGGGGCGTGCCAGATGTGTTCCGCCCCCTTAACACTAAAAAGCAACCCAAGATGCCACCTTTAGATATAAAGAAAAAAAAAAGTAAAAAAAAGGGGGGGGGGGCATTTTTACTTTTTGAGGTTGGAAGCTTGAAGTTACATATACAAATTAAGCTGTAACACTTTCCACAATGGTCTAATATATATTATAATTTTAAGTGGAGTTTAAACAATAAAGTCCCCTGCTGATTATGATGTACCGTATATTGTAATTGTAAGTGGAGTTTAAACTATTAAGTCACCTGCTAATTATGATGTACCGTATATTGTAAATTGTAAGTGGAGTTTTAAACTGTTAAGTCCCCTGCTGATTATGATGTACCGTATATTGTAATTGTAAGTAGAGTTTTAAAATATTAAGCTTCCTGCTTATAATGATGTACCGCATATTGACATTTTAAGTGGAGTTTTAACTATTAAGTCGCCTGCTAATTATGATGTACCGTATATTTTTAATTGTAAGTGGAGTTTTAAACTGTTAAAAGTCGCCTGCTGATCCAAATGTTTGTTTCCAACAGTGACGCGGATGCCTTCCTTCAAGCGCGCAGACGTGTCGCCTTGGACTCTGACAATGGGAGTGAGGATATCGAGGACGACGATATCCCTATTGAGGACGAGGATATCCCTATTGAGGACGAGGATGGCGCTGAAGATGATGAAGATAATGATCCGGACTACGATAATCCTGGCCTGGATGGCTAATCACGTCGTCGGCTCAACTTCGCCTTAAAGGGGGAAAACCACAACTATTGCCTATCTTAAAAAGTCAGGCATCAGAGGGGGAAAAAAAATACAACTGTTGCCCATCGAAAGTCAGGCATTAGTGGGAAGAGCACAATACATTTTTGCCGTTACCTTTATATTTAAAATTTAAAAAAAAAACGAGTTGTGGTTTGTTTTTTTTTGTCCCTGTTATAGTGGAGCATTATATCCCGGTCCCCTGAAAAGGGAAAGTTATCCACGCTATTGGATAGGAGTCAAATGATCTCAAGTTTCTTCATGATTTGACAACGAGTAAAAAATATTTTTTTTAAAAACCTGAAGTTTTTATGATGGTAGATTTTGTTGTATTTATTGTGTGCAGCTTCGACATTCGAACAGCCTTTTGTTGTAATTGTTGAATATTTTTTATTGGTGTGGTGCTTCTCCACCATGTACGTGTAGATGAATGGTGTATTAGCCTGTTGTATTATTGTTTGAAGAAACACTTCTTTATGCTTGTAAGAGAGAGAGAGAGAGAGAGAGAGACAGAGAGAGAGAGAGAGAGAGAGAGAGAGAGAGAGGGAGAGAGAGAGAGAGAGAGAGAGAGAGAGAGAGAGAGAGAGAGAGAGAGAGAGAGAGAGAGAGAGAGAGAGAGAGAGAGAGAGAGAGAGAGTTGGTGTATTAGTCTGTTGTATTATTGTGTGAAGAAACACATATTTATGTGTGTAAGAGAGAGAGAGAGAGAGAGAGAGAGAGAGAGAGAGAGAGAGAGAGAGAGAGAGAGAGAGGCAGAGAGAGAGAGAGAGAGATACAGAGAGAGAGAGACAGAGGGAGAGAGAGACAGAGAGAGAGAGAGACATCCCTTATATATTAAGGGAATGAGAGACGTTACAAAGATAAAAAAATGCCAAGGGGAGGGAGGGGGTTGGGGGTGGGATCAAGTGTCAGATCTGATGCGTCATAATGACGGGGCAAGAACCTTGATGGGGCGCCAGATTGTTGGCTTTGACAGCGGGTGCCACTCACCCAAGTATCACTTACTTGAGGGTGAATATGAGGGTGGATGTATATATTAAAGGGTGGATGTCTATAGTGAGGGTGGATGTTACGATCGGAAGTCAGATGAAAGTTGGTGGAATGAGGAAATGAAAGATGCTGCGAACAGAGCAAAACGTCAACTCGACTAAAAGTGTGTCTACATTGTGTCTGTAGTGTGTCTACGGTGTGTCTACAGTCTGTCTGCAGTGTGTCTGCATTGTGTGGAGTTACTTTTTGTTTTTTCTCAACTTTCAAAGAATCTCACATTAAAATTTCCAATGCATTCTCTAATTTTTAATACTTGTTGCTATTGTTATGGTTGTTTATTAGAGTAGTGTTTATCGGCTATTATTAATTTGCTGCATTAAAAAAAAATTGCTTGTAATTAATGTTATTTCCATTAAAAATTTAATTTCTTAAGTCATGTTGTTTTATGATAATTTTGTTTCGGCCTGCACTTATCCACATCACAACCACAATGCCAAAAAAGACATACACGTCACATCCACAAAGCCCACAATATATATCAACATCACATCCACAAAACCTACAAAATATCAACATCACATCCACAAATCCCACAATATATCAACATCACATCCACAAATCCCACAATATATCAACATCACATCCACAAAACCCACATTATATATCAACATCACATCCACAAATCCCACAATATATCAACATCACATCCACAAAACCCACATTATATATCAACATCACATTCACAAATCCCACAATATATTAACATCACATCCACAAAACCCACATTATATATTAACATCACATCCACAAAACCCACAAAATATCCACGTCACATGCACAAAGCTCACAAGACGTTACGTTTATTAGAAATGGACTTAAAATGATGCTATAACAAACTCTAACACAGGACACAGGAGTCATGACTTGACTCTAAAAACAGGACACGCGAGTCACGGTGTGACTCTAACACAGGACACGGGAGTCCCGGTGCAGTGTTTCTTTCAGAAATTTTCCCCCGGGTGGGGGTGGGGGGCAATTCAGATTTCTTTTTTTTTGGGGGGGGGGGCAGTGCCGATTAGTTTATTGTTGGACATATTTTTGCTCGGGGGGGGGGCACTTAGCTTTCCCCGGGGGGGGGCAGGGCCCCCCCCCCCCCCCGAGCTCTAGCTGAAAGAAAGCCTGTCCCGGTGTGAAAGTTGTAAAGGTTGCCCAACTAAAATCATTGAAACTTGTTTGAATCGTTCAAAATGTGTGCATTAGTCGCGGTCATGAGCCCCAGATTTCTTTGAACGCGACATTAGCCAGTCTGAAGCCTATAGAGCAGGGGTCGGGAACCTTTTGTCTGAGAGAGCAATGGACACCACATATTTTGAAAAGTAATTCTGTGAGAGCCATACATTATATTTAAAACTAAAAATTCAAGTAAATATGTGCATTTTGTGTAATTTCAACACTAAAAATGCAATAATTATGTCTCTGAATTCTTGTTAATAACATTGTTATGCTGTTGCTAATCAATAATGAATATTTCTTACCATAATGCGATTTTTTTTTTATAATCGAACATTTGTCTGCGAGCCAGATGTACCCATCAATAGAGCCACATCTGGCTCGCGAGCCATAGATTCCCGACCCCTGCTATAGATTTATTTTCTTTCTTCATCTTTCTATTTTTTTAGCTCAGTAAAATCTTCCTAAAAAGTGATGCAATTTTAAATGCGCATGTGGCCCGGAGGGAACATTAAGCCTTGTATAGCATTAATGATCTCCATAGGCAGTCATGGGGTCTGAGCTTTTAAGGTAGAGCTCGCACTGGAATCGATAAAGATCACGGGTCTTAAAACCATGGCGTCTATCACCGCAGGAGAGCGGCTTGAAACGTAAACAAGAAACAAACAAAAACTAATTGATTTATGGGAATTATCATACACATGCCAACGTTAAAAATACTACTTGATATTGGTGAATCATAATACATAATCTACCATAAGAAGGCCCGTGGGTGGGGGGGGGGTGGTGGTGGTGGTAAACAGCATTGTATCAAAACGCGGTGTCCTGATGGTCTCATGTAAGATGATGTAAGTGTCATGTATGATGATGTAAGTGTCATGTATGATGATGTAAGCGTCATGTATGGTGATGTATGTGTCATGTATGATGATGTATGTCTCATGTACGACGATGTTCGTGTCATGTATGATGATGTATGTGTCATGTATGATGATGTATGTGTCATGTATGGTGATGTATGTGTCATGTATGATGATGTATGTGTCATGTATGATGATGTATGTGTCATGTATGATGATGTATGTGTCATGTATGGTGATGTATGTGTCATGTATGATGATGTATGTCTCATGTACGACGATGTATATGTCCTGTATGATGATGCATGTGTCCTGCAGTATAATTGAAACAAGGTGTACTCGCTAATTCGTGGAAGTAATTTCATTTTAAAAAATCTGGTTTAACCTTTTATGACCTTGATAACATAAAGTATTACCATTGCTGATCTCCCCTGGCTGGTAAATGGTGGTTATGATATTATTATGCGGCCCCCCCCCCCATTTTTTTTCCCCTGTCTCTAGGAGCGGCATGTGCCTCAGGCACGTGGTCGCGTAACCCGGGAAGCTGGACACGTGATGAGACTCAGTGCTTAGATTTGACGTGACCTGTCTGTCATTTGAGATGACCTGGCTGACATTTGAGATGATCTGGGTTACATTTGGCACGAATGGCTTTAAATCATAAACGATGGATTTAAAATTTGACATTTTTAAAAAAATTAAAAAATCGTTTAGAATTAATTATGTTAACAAGAAGACAAATCCGATGATTACAAAAGACGTCATAGATGTATTATTATGTGCTTCTCATCTGAGGGAAAATCGAATACAAATAAAGTATTTATTCCCCAAATATTTAGTTGATTGAAATGGTTATTTGAAATTTCTAACTACTATAACTTTATTAAGATAAATTACAAAATTTGATCTTTGGCACATCTTTTAAGCAACTCCACAGAATTTATTATTAAATTTACGATTTAGAAAGAAAACATTTTTTTTTTTCTAAAACTAGTACAAAAAATGGAATTGGAATGATAATCGAAATTAAAATGATTTAAAGAACGCAAAAACGCTTTCGATTTTTATAATAAAATCAATGAAAAGTACACGATTTGTATGCTTTTTAAATCCTTATTTTTTTATGTTTAAATATATGTTTATTAAAAAAGTTTTCATTTTATCCAGCTCAACATGCATAACATGGAATCGAGTACATTTAAAATTATGCTGAAGACTATATATTTATTTAAAAGCGTGATGCCATCATACAATATATAAATAACGCCTGCTTGTCGCTACTTTAAAATTCAAGATTTTATGGTGAAATATAATTTCAAAACAGATTGCACAGGACTGATAGGCCTACTTAGCAAGAACGATATTAAAATTATAGACCTTTATATTGATGTAAGGTTCGATACATACACTGTTATTGACGTCTTTATACGTGTGAAGGTTCACGAAATAGTTAAATACACATACCGATACATGCGAACATCGAGAAATACGCCTTCGGATTATAATCAGGAGTGGCAAGTTTTTTCTAACAGTACGATATTAATAATTGAAAAGTGTAAGCCTCCAACAAGATTAGCCTTAAATATACTGATCATTTTAAAAAAAATATCGAGCGTAGCGATACTTCATATGCTCCAGTAAATGTAATCGGTTATAGGCGCCAGTTAGGCTTACTATTCTTTTTAAAAATGTTATAATAATTGTCAATTAAGTCAGTGTTTGTTATAAATAATGTATTTTCGTTTCATTGTTGTACATATTTTTATCGGAAAAGGGGGGGGGGGGGCTACACTTGACTTGCCTGCACACCCCCGACTCCTGGGGAGATGTCTGAAAGAAACATTGGTTGTGAACCTTGTGCGTTTGTCTCTTTATTTTGCACTGTTTTTAAAATGTTATAATAATTGTCAATTAAGTCAGTGTTTGTTATAAATAATGTATTTTCGTTTCATTGTTGTACATATTTTTATCGGAAAAGGGGGGGGGGGCTACACTTGACTTGCCTGCCCACCCCCGACTCCTGGAGAGATGTCTGAAAGAAACATTGGTTGTGAACCTTGTGAGTTTGTATCTTTATTTTGCACTGTTTTATCATCATTGTCAGTGGCACTAATAGGGTAGGTAGAGTCACTGATTCCATAGACTCTGTCCCTCTTTCGTTTACGCCCCTTACCGTGTGACGTCAGGACCGGTTGATCTATTAATCTGACCACCTAACACTCAACTTGGGCTCTATTTTTTTTTTCTTTTTTTTTAAACTAACATTTATAGAAATCTTAAGATGTTCGTGTTGACTGCACTTAAGGTTTTCTTTTCTGCCGTTAGATTTTTTGCGTGCGCAAGTTAATTCCAATTCCAGGTTTTTTGTTTTTTTTTAAAGTTATAGTTTACGTTATTTTAAATACTAAT